TGAGCCACCGTGCCTGGCCCATATTTACTTTTATTTCAAAGTTTTCCAGTTGCCAGTCTCCTGAGGAGGCGGGCAGGGTGTCATTATATTTGTTTCACAGATGAGGATACTGAGGTTCCGGGAGACAAAATGGCACTGCCCAAGTCCCCCTGCTGGTGAGGGCTGTCCAAGACTGGATGCCAGGCCTCCTGGTTTCTGGTGGCCATAGCCAGCTGAGGCTGGGACACTGTGCTCTGCCTTTCAGGGGTTGGAGTGCTCAGCGGACAGCTGTATGCCACAGGCGGGCATGACGGGCCCCTGGTGAGGAAGAGTGTTGAGGTTTACGATCCTGGAACAAACACCTGGAAGCAGGTGGCGGACATGAACATGTGCCGGCGCAATGCAGGTAATCTGACTGCCCTCTCTTCCTCCCCTTTGGGGTTTGTGGGTCTTTTCCCCCTGAAGACACTAGTTCTAAGCTAGAGGAAGAGAGGAGAGACTCCTGGGACCTGGAGCTGAGCTTGCATCCTGAGCAGGGAGTGTGTGTTTGCTGAGTAGGCTCTGGGTTAAGGGAGGGGAGAAATCGGCTTCCCCCACTTAGATGCAGCGGGAGTCCTTCTTCCCCAGGGAAGGGTGATGACTTTTACTGCACACAGATGGGCACAGAGCCGGGAAAGCCCTCTGGTTGCCATCGGTGACCCCTGCCCAATGGCTTTGTTAGGTAGCTAAGCACAGGGCTGTGTGGACATGGGCCAGTCAGTGACACTCGTTCTATCTTTTCTCTGCCAGTGCCTGGCTGGGAGAACCACTCACTTCCTGCCTGAAACCAGGCTTCTTCCTTGCAGGGAGAGCCAGAGCCTGGACTGAGTCTCTGGTAGAACTACCTCCCTTATTGCCCTCTCTGTACGCCCTGTCTCTCCTTTCCTTCCCTCGCCCTATTCCTTCCGTGGGAGTGATTTACCATGGAGTATTTAGGCTTACATTTCCTGGAGTGTGACATTCCTCTTAAGCTATTTCCTTTTAGAACTTTGCCCTGTGGGTTGTGTCCTTGCTTTATGTTTCTCTAGGAAAGTGTTGGCTTAGCCCACCCTCCAGGGCTGGAAAGACAAACAGGTGACTTTCAGGCGGATCTATTTCCTTCATTCTCATGTGACCTGTTTGCTAAACTCATTTGTGGCTGCCTTGTTGGCAGTGTAAATGGGAGAGTTTATTAATTTACTCATTGTCTAAGCTGTGATAGAGCTTGGCATTCATTTGGCCTTGAGCCACATGAGCAAGGCATTACAGGACCCTTAAGGCAGCTGGTCTGTCTAGAGTCTGAGAATTAAGTTTATATGTAAATATGTTTGTATATAATCCTTTGCAGATATTTCTTTTTTTAATAACAAAAATGGAATCATACTATAACACTTTTAGTTAACTTGCTTTTTTTTTTTTTTTTGAGACAGAGCCTCACTCTTTTGCCTGGGCTAGAGTGAGTGCCATGGCGTCAGCCTAGCTCACAGCAACCTCAAACTCCTGGGCTCAAGCGATCCTCCTGCCTCAGCCTCCCGAGTA